AATCAGGCATTATTTTAGCATTTTTTTGGCTTTTTGCGGGAATTTCTATTAGCATTAAATGCCAGTTTCACTAGCACAATCGAGAAAGGCCTAGACAGGCCTACTTACTGTGATTTTCATGAAAAATTTCACAACTGGTTACCACCGGTTTATTAAGTCGAGTCAATTTTTAAGAAATCTGAGCGCGGAAATCAGACCTGCCTATGAAGACTGGGGAACAGCTTCTCACTGCATGCCGGGATAGACGTGTTACCGCCAGATTTGAAAACTGTAATAAATTCCCCGCGTTTTGGGCGATTCATAAATATTAATGAAAATTTTCTCACAGACCAATGGCCTTCAAGTTTTACCAATATCTGTTTTTGCTGCTGCTATTCATTTCCATTGAAAGAAGTGAATCGGCTGGAAACGATTCAGGAAAGCAGGGAAGCAGTTCATCGGGTGATTCTCATATCAAACTCAGTGTTAACAATAGCTTATATCAAGTTCCGGCGATCACGCCCCCACCAATGTCTGACTCAAGAACGCCTAAGATTTGAAACATTTTACAAGATTACTCAAAAACATTTTAACGGCGATCAGTTTTACCAAAGAATTAAAAAAAATGATAAGACGTTTTCAAATACCAAAATCTTAAGGTGGTCTTCCACTCAAAAATTTGTATTTTTTGTCAAAAAACTTTCATTTTGAAAATGGTGCTTTTTGGTATCTTTAACCATTACTCTTTCATTCTACAGCTTCCTTTTTTCCATATTCAGGAGGTAAAGTCAAAAATTTTGCTAAATTCCTTAGCGAGTATGAATTTTCACCTTAGCAACGACCATAGCAACGGTTTGTTTATGAAAACAAAACGCAGTTGCAGTCAAAAGGAAACGACGGAATTTCTCCTGGGACCCCTCCCTGGTTATTCCCGTTGTTTATTGACATTTCAATCAGGCATACATGCAGTGAGTTACGAGCACCCAAAATGGCGGATGATATGTGGCGACACTATTTCCCAACTTATCATCCACCATTTTGGTCGTATTCGTTCACTCTATTCCTATTGCGATTTTGCTTGATAATTTATTTATCAATGCCACCAAAGGCTCGTTCTGGTTACACAAAAAGCGTAAATATCGTGGAAACCAGTACTCTACTGAATCGAAGCGTTCGAAGAAGGAAAAAAACGAGTGTCAGCACCAAAGGTCTTGGGAAAGAATGTTCAGCTTCTGCCCGCAAGATTCCAGCAGGTCTGACCACCGCATCTTCTGAGGGTATCAAGGAGTGTAAGGAGTCAATCATAAGTGGATTTCGGTTTGTAGATATGAGAATTTTGTCTTCTGTGATGGAATGTATGCCATGCAAAGAATGCTTTGTTTGTGATTTAATTTTACAAGAGCAAGCTATGAAACGCAAAGGTTGTGCCTCGAATCTTCGTTTGCTTTGCTGCTCGTGTGGTTGGTCTATGGAATTCTTTACTTCAGCTCAAATAGGCCGTTTCTTTGAAGTAAACAGAAGATTTGTGTATGCTTCAAGATCTGTTGGTTGTGGACGTGCGGCAGGTAAGAGGTTTTGTGGACTTATGAACATGCCGCCACCTCCTAGACCTACACCATATGCTCGCCATAATAAAGAAATACTCCGAGCAGTAAAGAAGATCTCACTGGAGACAATGCGTGATACTGCAAGAGAGATTCACGATATCAAGCCAGGTTCAGATGAGGGCATAGCAAGATGTGGAGTGTCTGTTGATGGAACATGGCAGAGAAGAGGCTTTTCTTCTTTAAATGGCTGTGTGAGTGCTATTAGCATGGATACAGGGAAAGTGGTAGATGTTGAGCCCCTAAGCAAAGTTTGTATCAAGTGCAGGGAGCATGAAAATGATCCTGACACCCCAGAAACTACTGCATGGAGAGCAGACCACAGAGCCTCTTGCAAGGCAAACTTTAAGGGTTCAGCACCAGCTATGGAACCAGAAGGCGCCCTTCGAATGTTTCAAAGGTCAGTAGATCAGCATAAGCTGCAGTATGATGAATATTATGGCGATGGTGACAGCAAAAGTTACTCATTAGTCAAAGATGTATACCAAGTCTATGATATTGAAGTTCAAAAGAAGGAATGTGTTGGCCATGTTCAAAAACGACTGGGAACAGCTTTACGAAAGTTAAAGAAGGAAAAGAAAGGGATGGGTGGGAAAGGCAGGCTGACAGATGCCATGATTGACAGACTGCAAAATTACTATGGAATTGCCATTCGAAGCAACTCAGGTGATCTTGCTGCCATGAAGAAGGCAATTTATGCCAGCTTGTTTCACTGTGCTTCTTCTGCAGACAGTAATTACCATGGGCATTGCCCTGAGGGTCCTGAAAGCTGGTGTGGTTTTCAGCGGGACAAGGTCAATAGGACAAACACTTTCAAACATGGAACTGGCCTACCTTTAGATGTCAGAGAGGAAATCAAACCCATTTATAAAAGGTTGAGTGAGGACAGCCTTCTCAGCAAATGTCTTGATGGCAAGACTCAAAACCAGAATGAGTCACTCAATGGTATGGTTTGGGAGCGTGTGCCAAAGGGGTGTTTGTTGGTTCTGAAGTACTGCAGCTGGGGTTTATGATGCTGTCGCTCACTTTAATATTGGTTCAAGAGCAGCTATTAAAGTGTTTGAGAGTCTTGGAATTCCCCCCGGTGAATTCTGTATAAATGAATGCCAGCAGTTGGACAAGATTCGTGTTTTGAAAGCTGAATACAAGTTCCAAGAGAAGAACAAGACAAGGAGGAGGCTACTCAGGGGAAAAAGAAAGAAAAAAAATGACAAATCCCAGGAAAAGGAGGGTGACATATATGCACCTGGTGCATTTTAATGAGAACATCAAAGAGCTTAGCTTAAACTTTCCAAAAGGCACCAGTTGCTTTAGTGATTATTTTGATTGATCAACTTAAATCTTTAAACTTGATTTTCTCAGTTTTGCAATTTTGAGAGAGTGCCCGTCACGGCAAAAAGGATTTCTTGAAAAGTATTAAACCAAAAGGGATGAAATTTTCAGGGAGGTTTGCTTGAGTATAGTTCTGTGTTGTGAACCTAAAATTATTAGTGATTTTTAGTTACATGGTTGTTGACAGATGTATCCATGGTGATAATACAAACAAAAATGTTGTAATCAAGGAACAGTTGCAATTTTATAATAGCTTGGCATAAAAAATATGGGTTTTCTGAGGTTCATGACATAAAGCCATCTTTGTACTTAGTTTTGATACCAATTTCAGGTGAATAGGACCGCTAGTTCTTGAGATATCCTTTTTACAAGAACACCATTATTTTCACAGTTGGGGGCCCAAAACTTGGTTACCATGGCAACGACATGTCTATCAAAATTCTTAAAAGTATCAGTTTGAGGTGATCTCTCCAATGGTACTTAAATAACTTAGGTAAAGCATAAACTGAATTTTTTTAAAATTTGAGTGGAAGACCACCTTAAGATTTAATGGGTCAAAATCCAAGTTTTCAAATCAAGTTTGCGCAATATGTTAAGACGATCAAAGGTCATTTCACGCCAGTATGAAAACAATGGGTCCGTACTCTTCTACGCATGCTCGGATTCGATTTTACCGCCAAATTAGAATAGATCGTAAAATTTCCTTTATTTTGGTATATAATTCGGCTTGTTTTCGAGTATTTTGGATGGGTCGAATCTCCGTTAAAGTTGGAGGACTTCTGGTATTCCTATTATTCGCTTTCTGCGGATCCGTGAAGGCTGTGGGAGATGGATCGGAAGATAAAAATAATGGATTTGCGGGCCATCCGCCACCTTTCTTCACATGCAGTATCAACAAGTAAGTTATCAATAAGAACTTAAGTTCAATAAATTAACTGTCTCCATTCTTTCCGGACACCAACTAATGAATTAAATTTTCATTGCTAATAGTCTCGCATATATCTTATCCCAGTCGTTTTTATCCAACTTTCAGCTATCTCCTCTACACAATTGCCAAAGAGAATGAAGAGGGTAGTGGCGAGTCTGCCTTCGCTGCAATCGTGGAGAAGATCTTTCAAGAAACGGGCATTCGCGGTGTTGTTGTGAACAACAGAATAATAAATGTCGTTCGAAAAAAGATTGGGTCTCTGTGTGCCGAACTCAAAAGAGTCAAGAAGAAAAGTGGAGGTTTCGGTGTCAAAAGAATCATAAACAAATGGCGTGACCAAACTTATGAGGTGAAGATATTTTATCACGAACTTCACAAATACGTTACCGAAAAGGAGAATCAGGATTTACGAGGGAAGAAACAAACACTGGAAGAATCTTTGGCGAATGAAACAACTAAGTGACAGAAACTCGAGAAAAAACTCGGCGACACAGAGAGGACCTGCAATTATCTGAAAAAAAGGTTTCAAAGTCTTGTTACAAAAGTTGAGAAGAAGAACAAGAAAGGAATTAGAGGCCCTGAAAAAAAGTCATTCGCTGAGTATTCAAAGCAGCACCAAAGCAGGATTAAAAATAAAATGAATGAGGAATGTCAGGCCACTCTTACTTTCCTTGGATTGTACAATTTTACGGCCACCAAAGTTGAAGTGTTAAACACTGACACAGAACAGTATGACACTTTTAACTTAATCGATGAGGAACAAATGCAACAATCAGACACTGAGGGAAATGAAATAACTGACACCCAGGCTGATGACATCAACTACTGGATTTACATCAAGGACAAATTTAATATTTCCAATGATGCATGGCATGAAATGGCATTGAGATCTAAAACAATACCAAATACTTACAAGACAACTCGAGAGATAAATGAATTAAACCAGCAATGGAAAATAAGAGATACCCCTGGTCAAGCAGAAGGGGTGCAAATCAGCTTCAAAGAAAGCCTCGAGGAACAAATTGCCAACTTACAAAGGAAGGGAGATTTAGAAGGATACCATTGGGGTGAAGATAAGTGGAGATGGCACAAACATTGGAAAAAAACTTAAGCTAGTAAATGTAACATATACACTTTTAAATGAGAAAGAGGCTGCAATGAGTGAGAAGGGCAATTATGTTCTGGCTATACTCAAGACAAGTGAAAACTATGACAATCTGAAGGAAAGTCTGTCTGATTTAACACAAGAAATGTCGAAATTAAATAAGGTAACAGTTGAGGGTAAAACCTATAATATTGAATACTTTCTCGGTGGGGATTGGAAGTTCCTGGCATGTGTCTATGGGTTGGGGGCTGCTAACCAAGACTACGCCTGTATCTGGTGCAAATGCCCTCGCGGCCAGAGACATGACATCCAAAGGGTATGGTCACTTTCTAACAGTGCTCAGGGTGCCAGATCACTGGAGGAAATTTCAAGCTTTGCCAAATCAAAAAAGTTTAATTGCAAAGCAACTCCATCATTTAATTTCGTACCAATTGATCATGTCATTATTGATACCTTACATTTATTTCTCCGCATATCAGATAATTTAACAGAACTTTTAATCAGGGAATTAAGGAGATAGGATGCTTGTGAGAAGATAACAACATTTCCCAATGGTTTTTCTCGAGAGAAATTTAAACATATGGCAGCATATGAAACGTTTCTCAAAACCCTTGGCATTTCTTTTGAGTGGAGAATAAACAAAGACACAAAAAAAACTGGACTATAGACATCTCACGGGTCCTGAAAAACTAAAGGTCATGCAAAATATTCAGTTCTCTTCTCTTTTTCCTGGTTACAACAATTCAGAAAAGCTTCAGTTACTATGGGGTGGGTTCATGGACATCATTGAGTATTTATCTAAAACAAAACGACTCTAGAGAGCAAGCAACTTTTCTAAATTTTGGTGGCAACTTTTTGATATTTGAGCAACTTTAGAGCAACTTTTGGGTATACGGTGAAGGAACTTTTCCTGAATTTACTAGCACAATCTATTCATGCCTTCTGGGGTGCACGGTTATTCTCCGGAAAGCCAACTCAGACTTATCACCAGTCCCTGATCCCTGCACATAAGTGTTTTGTAATGATGTCTTCTAGGCTTTGCGCTGATGGTAATATCAGAGAAATCAGGATCATCAGTTTGGCTACACAACCATTTTAAATCATCTACTAAAGGTAAGTATCGTTTTTGATGATTCAAGTGAGTACGATTGAAAATAATACACCCAATTGACTGCTACCGTGTCGGTTGAAATGTGGATGTGAGCTATCTCAGTCTTTCATGCCGCTTCCAAAAGAAATTTTCCCTAGGAACGCTTTCCTATTGGTATCAACCAAGTGATTTGGTTTACATTCTTTCGTGTTTTAAGTAATAGTAATGATGATGATAAAAAAAAAAAAAAATAATAATATATAATTATATAAGTATACATATGGATAGATATTGACTAGGAAATTAGTTTATGTGTGACATGGCCTCTAGGCTACGCTTAGCGCCCTACTGTGCCATTAGGATTCATAGCATTAAGATGTGTAACACTGCTGATATAATGATAATTACATCTTTAGCCAGGGTAAAGCCGTCAGCAATTGCTGATATCAATGAGTGTCCTAGTAAATTGTACAAAACAATACTGAAGTGAATAAAACTTAAGTAAAACTAAAATATCAATCATAATTGAAGATAATTATTAAAAAATCTAAATATGTATATATGATGATGAAAAATCATTTAAAAAATTCTCCTATTTTTGATTTAAATATTAATGGTGACTTAATTGATTTTAATTCAGGTGACAAATCATTGCTTAGTGCATAGGACTCAATATTCCTGTCCTCAGGTAAGGGTTTGGTAGATCTTTAAAATATTTATAATTTCAGTGGTGAATATTTCACAGACATACCTTAGTATAATGGAAGTTAGCAAATTGGACAGATTTCTCTGAGCAGTAATGTATTAGGTTTAGTTTTCTCTTATGCAGCATAATCAATTCAGAGCTTCAACATTCCCCTCCCAGGCAATGCCCCTGGCATTTAAACTTTTGAAGATTGGTTTGTTCAAGTTCCATGTCTACCTATGTGTAGGACAAGCAGCAACTTAAACATAATTACACATGCATCTATATTTCCAATAATTTACATTGCATGATTCCAAAAATAGTTTCTATTTTAACATGATAAGAGGATATTGGTTTGGTGGTGAGGCAAACCACTTTTGATTCTATGATATGGACAGTCATGAAAAACTTGAATCCTTGAAGCATTTTCATGCCACAGATATCTGATTCAATAGCATTTTAGCTTCACAACTGTGTGCCAAAATTTGACCCAAGTTAATCTTAACCCAGGGTTAGGTTTGGGAACTGTAGTGTTTCATCTTGTCTCCTACATTCACCCCACTGGTGTAACTAGATGCAAATGTATGTCATACCCTGCATTTTATTGAAGCCAGTGTCCAAATAGTTTGAATTAGACCCTAGGTCTCTGCCATGGGATGAGTTAAAGAATACTTCAAGGACTGTTTTACCCCCAAATACGGATCCCAAATGAAGTTTTAGAGTTCAGACAGAGAGAGATCCAGCCTAACACAGTTGTGAATAATGAGCTAAACAAAATATGCCAAATTGATCCATTACGTGCCAAGTTTAAGGGGGCCAAAGTAAATATATGAAAGTCACGCTTGACAAAAGGCTCTATCGGATAATGCGTGACACCCGCTGTGACCCGACTGACTAAAGAATCTGCGAATTTTAGAGGATTTCGCTCTCTCTCTCTCGTTTAAAGAACGTTATCGTTCTGTTACCTCCAGATTATAAAAGTAAAATCTTTAGGCTTTACGTAGAGGTGTAAATTATACCGGTAAACAATAATCTTGTACTGGCAAATAAATATTTCGTGTTGCTTACTTGCGATATTTTATGAAGCTTTGACCTCATTTTTCGAGATAGGGGAAAGACTCTAGGCCGAAGTTTGTACAACGCATGCTCCCATCTGCGCGTTACCGCCAAATTTGAAAAGAATAATAAATTCCGCGTATTTTGATGTATAATTTATTAGGGTACGGTTAAGTTTCGGCCTGGCAAATGGACCTTGAAGTCAACGCTTTGGTTCTGTTTCTGCTGCTAACCTTTGTAAACAGCACGAGTGCGATAGAAGAGGAATTCGGGCGAGCAGAACCCGGAGATGTCCCTTCATTTACGTACGAAATAAACAAGTAAGTATCCATTCAAGCTTCGTTAATTTATTCGAAGATTAATTGTGTTAAAGAGCCTTTTCGTCTTGTTTTGTAGCTACCTCATCTGTTCAGTCTATAAGGAATTAGAAAGGAAAATCGACGACTTAAGTACCGAGTCCGCTTGGTTGGCGAGAATAAAAAGAATTTTCGAAGAGTCTGCGCTTAGAGGTGTAATCATCAACAGTCGTATTATTAATGTCTTCAAGGAAATTTCGCTTCTTCTCTCGGCATTGAAGAGAGCTGACCAAAAAGGCGGTCGCCATGTTAAGAAGCCTGAAGAAAAATGGCAGAAAGAAACGTACTCATTTAAGGTATTTTATAATGAAAATGAAGCATGTCAGCTACAACAGGAGAACAGGGCTTTGCGTGGACAAAAGAGAGAGCTGGAAGCATCCCTCGCAGATGAACAGGCGAAAAGGCTAAAGGTAGAAGAGTAACTCGAACAGGTACTTAAGAAGATAGAAAAAAAGGAAAAAAACTACAAAAAGAAATTTAAGATTCTAGCGCGTAAAATTGCAAAACTGCAGAGAGATGGAAAGAGAGGGCCGGACAGAAAGAAAAAATTCACCGATTATACGAAACCGCATCAGTCACGTCTTCGACAACAGATGAAGGAAAACTGTCAGGCAACACTATCCTTCCTCGGATTGTATGCTTTTACTGCCACAAAAGTAGAAGTTTTCAGTGGCGAAACTCAGTACGAGACATTTCCTTGATTGATCAAAACGGGCTTCCACTGAAAGGACAATGACTCAAAAGAGCTGACAGATGAAAATTTGGATGACGGTAATATGTGGATCTATATTAAAGATACATTTAACATTTCAAATGAGGCTTGGCATGAGTTGGCCACGCAAACCAAACAGATGCCAAGCAATTATAAAATAGAGAAGAAATTAAAGGAACTGAATGCAAAATGGGATCTCCAACCCATACCTGGCCAAGCCGAGAGAGTCCAGTTAAGTTTTAGAGAAAGTTTAGAGGAACAAGAAATCAGCCTTCAGGGAAAAGGAGTTTTTCACATGAACACTAAAATCAAAGTTAAAATCAGTGGGGATGGGACTAACATTGGCAAAAGGCTCAAAATTATTAATGTAACTTACACATATGAAACTCCTTGTTAACAAAAAGGTTCTATCATATTTCCGACGGCCACACCCATCAAAAGCTCTCTTACAAGAAATGAAAATTTGGTAGTTTTGTGCTTACTGTGATTTTCATGAAAAATTTCACAACTGGTTACCACCGATTTATTAAACTTACATGTTTATTGCATCTTAATTGCACTTTTTTAGTTCGAAAACATAAATTTACTCATGGTCCTTGGAAGTTTCTTTCATTAAGTCGAGTCAATTTTTAAGAAATCTGAGCGCGAAAATCAGACCTGCCTATGAAGACTGGTGAACAGCTTCTCACTGCATGCCGGGATAGACGTGTTACCGCCAGATTTGAAAACTGTAATAAATTCCCCGCGTTTTGGGGTGTGATTCATGAATATTGATGAAAATTTTCTCACGGACCCATGGCCTTCACGTTTTACCAATATCTGTTTTTACTGCTGCTATTCATTTCCATTGAAAGAAGTGAATCGGCTGGAAACGATTCAGGATAGCAGGGAAGCAGTTCATCGGGTGATTCTGTTCCTTCGTTCTCGTACGACATAAACAAGTAAGTATATAAAATAATATTATTACTTTTAATTTTAACACTATAAAGGGTGCCGTCGGAAAAGGTAGTTGAGCTCGGAAAAGGAGTAAGTGACATCGAATACAAGCGCCGTAGCCGGTTCTAGAAGTAGGAAATACACTTCACGTAATGTCAACAATTTTAAAGTAAGATTGTGTTACATGTTTTTTATGTTAGCGGCATTTAAAATAGATTTACCGGTGTTCCATTCTTTAGTTTCCTCATTTACACCATATCGAAGGAGAAAAAGAGTGATGACGGTGAAGGTAACGATTCCCCTATAGCATCTGTCGTGAAGAAAATTTTGGAAGATTCAGGAGCACATAATGTGGAAGTAAACAAACCCATTTTGAACGTTTTTAAGAAAAACATATCAATCCTCCATAGAGCGTTCAAGCGGGCGAGCAAATCAGGACCAAATTATAAATTAAAAGTGTTCTACAACGAAGTTGACGTTTTGAAATTAAAGGGTGATTGCGATCGGCTGAGAGGTGAGAAAAGAGTACACCAGGAGCGCGTGACTGAGCAAGCAGCTAAACGGATTTGCCTTGAAGAGAAATTGAAAACTTCCCTGGAAAAGTCACAGTAGAAACACGAAGAAAGCAAGAGACGATTTAAACGTTTGGCGAAAAAGGTTGCAGACATGTGCTTAGAAAAAAGGTCAAGAGGCCAAGCAAAGAAAAAATCTTTTCGGCAGTACACGCGACAGCATCAGGCACGTGTCAAAAAACAGTTGAAGGAACAATGTCACACAACCCTGTCATTCCTTGGTTTGTATAATTATGTTGCCACCAAGGTAGAAGTCTTCAATGAGGACAATGGTAAGTTAGAGACTTTTAGTCTTCTTGAAGAAGGGGAACTTCCTTTTATTGATAATACAGAAAAGGAAATGACAGACAAAAAGTTGGATGACCTTAATATGTGGATATATTTAAAAGACAAATTTAATACCTCCAATGAAGCCTGGCGTGAGTTTTCAGTCAAGGCAAAAGACATGCCAAAACTGTCTCAGATAACGAAACGGATAAACGAGTTAAACACTTCATGGAATTTGATTTGCACTCCAGGTGAAGCAGGTGTTCAATTAAAATTTGAAGACAGCCTTCGAAAACAGTTAACAAGACTAGACTTGAAAGAAAACACAATTAAAGTAAAACTCAGTGGGGATGGAACACAGATAGGAAAGAGGTTGAAAATAGTGAACTTTACTTACACTATATTAAATGAGAAAGATCTTGCCATGGATGAAAAAAGGAATTACATTTTGGCAATAATTAAAACAACTGAAAGCTATGAAAATTTACAAGAGAGTCTCTCTGATCTCAGGAATGAGATGGAATTGCTTGAAACAATTACTGTAAATAATTGTAAATATAATATCGAGTATTTCCTTAGGGGGAGACTGGGAGTCTCTGACTTGCGTTTGTGGCCTGGGGGCTGCAAACTAAGACTATGCTTGCATATGGTGTAAGTGCCCCAGGCTACAGAGGTGGGATACAAATAAGCAATGGTCTATAACTGATCTTAGTCTAGGGCCACGAAACCTAGCACAAATAAGTCAGTGTACAAAATCAAAACAGTTCATTTGTAAAAATAATCCTTTGTTCCCATTTATTCCTCTTGATCATGTAGTCATTGATACTTTACATCTGTTATTACGAATTTCTGACAATTTAATTGAACTTCTGATCAGACAATTAAGAAGACTAGATAGCATTGAGAAAAAGGTAACATTTACAGATAGATTTCCAAGAGATAAATATAAATATATGGCGGGTTATGAAATGCTCCTTAACAACCTGGGAGTTTCATTTCAGTGGCACATTGGGAAAGAAAGCAAGAAATTAGAGTACAGAGACCTGACTGGTCCTGAGAAGTTGAAACTGTTTTAATATACACAAATGTCAACAATTCTTCCTACATGTGAAAACAGTGCCCAAATTCAAAAGCTATGGGCTGATTTCATAGATATTAATGGTGATTTAAAGCTTGATTTTCATTCTAATGATGAAGTTATGCATTTCAAAGGCAAGATTGGGGATTAGTTAGGTACATTCCTTGAGTTTTACCAAACTAAGGATGTCACCCCTTACATGCATGCTCTTTATGCCCATGTTCCAGAATTCCTTAATCTACACACAAACATCGCCCACTATACTCAGCAAGGTATGGAGAAATACAACGATAGGGCATCAAAGGATTAATTTCGATCTACCAACCACAGGGGAATTGCTGCACTCAAACAATTATTTCTGAAGAAAAATAGAATACAGTACCTAGAGGCAGCTGGTCATTGGTCATTCGCGCATCCCATATATGGGTATCGTATGTCCGCGAGAGTCTGGATGCAAGTTAAAGCAAATGTCAACCCTTTTATGAAATGACTTTGATATGATCCAGTTTTTAAAAAATGTCTTGAACCAATTTATGACAGACTGAATGACCCTGCCCTCCTTGCTAGATGTTTGCCTGGTAAAACAAAGAATTTAAATGAATCCATAAATGCTTTGGTCTGGAATAAGTGCCCCAAGAGTAAATATCATGGAAGGAAAAGAGTTCTAATGGCAACATGTTCTGCTAGTTTACACTTCAGCAATGGTGCCTCCGTGAAAAACCAGGTCATGTTTAAGGCTGGACTGAAAGTGGGGGACCATACAAGGAAAGAATTTAAGAGGAGAGATTCTAGCAGAGTGAAACAGGCTGAGGCAAGAGTGAACAAACAGTACAAGAACTGTAGAATCATGAGGAGGCAGGCAAGACAAAGGGACGAAGAGCTGAGGTCCAACCGGGAAGGTGTGACATATGTGACGGGAGGCTTCAATGATCTTGGACTGAATAGTGGACCACCATGAAAGAGAAAAAAAAAATGAACAGACATTAAAACCATTCCCTGGTGACATTTACTGCCGTTTGATATAGTATTATGGTAAAATATCAAAGCAAATCAAGTAGTTGAGAGAATAGAAGTAATTTTTCATTGTTTTTTGCTTTTACGAATGTTTAAGGGTATTTTCTGAAAAATGGCCATTTTTCCTGCTGCCAGTCCTGCCCCCTACTTTTTTGTCATTTAGATTTAAGGTATGTTAGTCAAACTTGGCTCAAGTGTTAAGCATGTAGACTACAACAACTTAAAGGGACAAAATTACACCACAGAAAATAGAAGCAAATGGTCATTTGGTTGCCAGTTTGATTTGATTCTGATTTTCTCACGCAAAACAGTGACTTTGGCCCTATCAGTGATAAAATCAAAATCAATGGTGACGGTGCAAGAATGACCCGAAATTCAAATTTACTTTATTTTCATTTTCTATGTTGCACACTTAGTTTAGTCAATGGGTCTGAGAGTTATCACACATTACGAGTCATTTCAGAGTTTGTTCAAGGAAGTAATATACTTAATTACCACAGGTAAAATTTACAGTGGATGGCTAGGAGGTTAAAAACCGAATTCTATCTCGGCGGTGATAACTAATTTATCTTGCCGATGCTTGGACTCAAGGGGGCAACATCCAATTATCCTTGTGCCTGCTGTAACATACATAACTTATTGCTGGAAAATCAATAATGACTACAACAATTACAACACTTCACCCTTGGAAAGAACACCGGAAGAGATTTGTGAAATGTCAAAAAATCTTATGAAAGTTATCGTTGCGATAAACAACCTTTCTTGAATACCCCTCTTAATCATTTAGTGGTAGATGAGCTTTACCTAACGCTGCGTGCCACAGATACCAACGAAATGCTGACGGGAAAGCTAGTGGCAAACACGACTGGACAAGTCTCTTAAGAAAAGACAAGAGGATCCTTTAGGCTGACCGGTCATACTATGCAAGTCAATTCCTAGCACATACAATGTTTCTTCCTTTCTTTCCAACAGAAGCCATGTTATGGACATTTGGGACTTTGCAAGGCAGCATTTATACTGTTTGCTCTTTGATTTCTAATAAAATCGCCCTCACTACGGATGTATGGCACTTTGCAGGGCAACATTTATACTATGCAAGTCAATTCCTAGCTGATGCAATGTTTCTTCCTTTCTTTCCAACAGAAGCCATATTATGGATATTTGGGAATTTGCAGGGCAGCACCTATACTATGCAAGTCAATTCCTAACAGATGCAAAGTTTGTTCCTTTCTTTCCAACAGGTGCACCGTCACAATGGATATATGGGACTTTGCAAGACAGCAGTTATACTGTTAGCTGTTTGCTTTCCAATAAAAACCGCCATCACTACGGATATATGGGAATTTGCAGGGCAGCACCTATACTATGCAAGTCATTTCCTATCAGATGAAATGTTTCTTCCTTTCTTTCCAACAGGAGCAACGTTACAATAGATATATGGGACTTTGCATGGCAGCATTTATACTATTTGCTTTCCAATGAAATCGCTATCACTACGGATGTTTGGGATTTTGCAGGGCAGCATGTATACTATTCTAGTCAATTCCTAGCAAATGCAATGTTTCTTCCTTTCTTTCCAACATAAGCAATGTTACAATGGATATATGGGACTTTGCAAGGCAGCATTTATACTGTTTGCTCTTTGCTTTCCAATAAAATCGCACTCACTACAGATATATGGAACTTTGCAGGGCAGCACCTATACTATGCAAGTCAATCCCTTGCAGAAGCAATATTTTTTCTTTGCTTTCCAACAAAAGCACCATCACAATAAAAATTTGGACTTTGCCAGACAACATATATACTATGGCAAGTCAATTCCCTGCAGGTGTAATGTTTCTTCCGCTTACAGGTCCTTTCCTCCTTTCCACAACCAGCAATCTTTCTGTCGTCAACAGTCGGTTTATATCCGTTAAAATGCGCCTAACTAACAAAATCGTAGAAAAATGGAGTATCTTCATTGAAGAAAATTTTCGATGTGGACGAATCAAGAAGAAAGCTGGCAATGAAAATCAATATAGAATTTAGCAACGACAGGAGCAAGGATGTCAATCCGTTCCTACGTGAATGGTAAGTCAGGATTTGAAAGATTGGATGCTTCATCTAATCAAAAGAACTCTTTGTTGAAAACAGACTCCAATCGTTTCACTTTCAAAAGTCAATAAATCTTTCATACTTGCACTTGCATGACTAAAAATTGTTTTCCAGTAGTAATTATAAAACACTTCCGGTTTAATTCCGAATAAAATTAATCTATGGCAGTTGCTAGTTGAACAAACTAAGTTGTATGCAGAACAGAAAATGGGCTGTGAAGAACGACCTGTCTGATATCCGGTCACAATGGATGAAATGAAGGCTTCTGTCAACCTGTGTCTAAAAATGGGTGAAGTCACCAAACCTTAGTTCTTATTAGAGCACAGATCCGCTCTTAGCTCTCCATTTTCCCCTAGCATAATGCGCAGGGATCGATTCCTCCAGATTGTGCGACACTTGCACTTTGCACACAACACCCAGGCATCCTGGGCTGACTCAGCTGATTACATTAAATTATAAAACCTTCAGCCATTCCTGTGTCAACTACATGCGCAGAGATTTACTAGGTTTCGTTGAAAGTTTTATTTGTTTTAATGGCTAGTAACGATTATAAAACATTTTCAGTTCAATTCAGATTTGTCTGAAGTAAAATTAATCTTAATTACTATTATTTCCAAGAAGTTGGAGTCAAACCGTAATACTACTGCCCCCCAATGAGCAAGGACCATCGATATGATGTGTGCAATCTTAAGTACTAGTCTCTTAGAAAGGCGCATTGCTTTCAATGCTGGAAAGAAAACTTTAGGCACTGAACTTCTAAATTGCTGGTTCAGCTTACAACCTCGATCGTTTCGTTGTTTAAATTTCTGTTTACTTGCTCAGGAGCGAAACCCAAGAAAGAAGTCAATCCCGTATTTGTAAGGAGTTCGTGAGGCAACTGCAAACGCGTATACCTTCAAGATATGAGTGAATGCTACTGTTGCAAAAAGTTAGAGGTATGCAAACAGTCTATGAACGGTGACACTGTTTACAGACTTTTCTGATGCAGCTGAGATCACATGTCAGCGATCATCCCGAGTCGAAGATGAAGCTGTTTAAGCATCACTTTGTACAATGTTTTTCATATTGATGCCAACGCCCTCCTTTGAAAGGATAGCACAATCGCAAATGCCTATCGATATAAGGAATTTTGAAGAACATCTGTGCTAAGCCAGTTCCTTACTGGCGTATGTACTTTTTACTCCACCTACATAAATCCACATCCATTCAGCGAGACGTTTAAGTCAATTTACGATGACAAGAGATTGATTCCTTGTTGCCATCAGGCCCACTTACATAATCACCTCCAATAACATTTTCAACTCCATCTACATCCTCATTTTTCATCCTCAATAATGAAATGAATGCTTCGTCATTTCAATAACTTCCCTTCATTTTTTTAACCCTTAAATTAGGGAACAACAATTCCACGTCAAGACGGATGGCTTCGCTGCACAGAAATATTTACTCAGTCTTTTGAAATAGTTTTATGTTCTGTTGGTCGAACACGATAACTTCTGCATCCTCAACACTGACAGATTTTCACTTTTAGCTGAATTCCTTTTAAATTTAATTTATCCTCAAATGGCGATCATTACTGTGGGATCAAACTTTAATGTAGAATATTTCCAAAAAGATTACTAAATAATAATTTAAAAAATATATAAATTTGAATTAAACTGCCACCTAAAAAAGTAGGAAGCAATCGTATAGTAGGCGATACCGTTTATATCTGTTTTGGAGTAAGTTGTATTGCTTCCAGCAACTGATTCCATTTCTCTACAAGTATTATTCTGTACAAAGTTTCATTAATTGTAATACAGTGGTTGCTTTCCAACAAGAGAAAATTACCCTTGACATTTGGTTGATGAGGAAAACATTAAAGATTTATCACAAACAGAAAAACTGACTGATGAAGACATTGATGAGATGAATTTACTTCTCTACACTAGAGAAAGATTAAATGTCTCCAATGAAGCTTATCATGAACTTTCAATGATATGCAAGGATCTACCTCGATCATGGAAAGTCCAGGAGAGGATAAAAGCTATAAATAGGAAATAGAACCTATCAAGTACCCCAGGTGATACATGTGGGATTCAACAAAGTATTAAAGAAAGATTAGAAATAAGGTTGCAAGCTATCCTTAAAACATTCCTTCAAATTCTGCCTTGAAACAAAATCATAAAATTCAGGTAAAACTGTCAAGAGAACGGTACCAATATTGGCAAAAGGCTGCATGTCATCAATGTGACCCTTTACTATTCTTGGTGAGGGTACAAAGGCTATGTCAGCTGATGAGAATCATTTGGTTCCTGTAATAAAAGAGGCTGAGAACTATGATAAACTGGAAAAGGCTCTGGCAGATATCAGAAGAGATGTTTATTTACATCTCATCCAAATGTTGAAAATAGATTTCTACTTTTTATTTTAATATTTTTAGCAGTTGTAAGTAGCCCCTTAATTTTAACTTTTAATCTTGTAATTATAGTCTTTTTTAAATTAAACTTTTGGCTAGGTGTCTACAATAGGTTGAGGGTTTTCATCCTCGACAACTTTTAACCTTTGACACCATAATAAAGTTGTTGATTAATTATCTTCATTTTTAATTGGTGCAATATCTTTGATCATGATTGCTGAGGACATTGAAAATCAATGACATTATAATAATGACACCAATTCAATTGATATTCGGTGGAAATGAACACTTTAATTTTTTTTGCTAGATGAGTGCAAGAAATTGTCCTTGGCTCAAAAGAACTAAGGAGCTGCCAAGAAATGTCATGACATAACATCTGAAGAAAAGGATGAGTTCAAAGAAAATGCAGAAAGTTTAAAGGCCCCAGATGTTTTGGAGCTTACTGAGGTTCATAAATTTAAGTTGATGTCAGTTCACAGGAAAAATCTTCTAAATGAAGTTAAGGTTTCAATCACTTTATGAAATAATCTCCAGCCAAAGTCCAATTATGTGACATAAACTATGCAAATTGGAATAATAATAAACTTTATTTAAAGTGGATGAATAATTCTAATTATAATTATGCTCTGTTGTACCCCCCTTATATGTCCACTAGCACTGACACTGGTTTTTCTCATGTGTCAGTGAAGGAATTGAAAGATGAATTTAAAAAGAGAAAAGCGAAAGGATTTAGCAACATAAACAAAACTGAACTTATCAAACAACTGCAGGAAATTTCTAAATTAGAAAATATGGACTCCCACAAAGAGGAAACAATTTAAAAACTCGCCTATACATTAAAAAAGCTATCATCCATTACTCTGAGCCTTTCATTCCCAAGAGTAACCAAAATCAAACCTTAAAAAAAGTTGAACATTAATTTTTCTTTCAGAAAATAGGCATTTTGGTAAGGTGTCATTACACCCGTCACGAAAACTACCATGCATTGGCAAGGTCCTCTTCATCGAGGAGGACGGTTTTCAGGTGCATTACTGGAAAGGTATTTACTCAGGAAAATGCAGTCCTCAGCATATTCCTCGACAGAAAACAACACCATGGAAGGGGAACTTTCCTTAGAGTGTTACAGTGTGTATAGTGTAATAATGTCACATCTGTACAAGCGGCAAAGCTCCTCGCTCAACAACCCAACGTCGAAGAGTTATTACTGCAAGGTACTTGCCACATGGCTGCCATTTCAAATGTATTGGCATCAAACCGGCAAAACTCTGGAAAATCTGAGGTATATAATTTAATTTACTTGCGTCTATCAACCCTATTAGACAAGGGTTGGAAATTTTAGATAAAGTGGATTGTCAGATGCGCTGTAAACATCTTTTCCTCTTTGTGAAGTGCTCAAAGTGACTTGACCAAGTCCTGTGGAAAATACAACTGGATCGACATTCATTCAATTCGTACTTCAGGGTCATCCCTCCAACCAGGCCATGGCTTTCGTTTGATAGCTCGATACAACTGACCGTGAAAAATATTTTCCTGTCTTCGATTGATCCTCCATTGGGAAAAAAAATCTTTTCCAATCGAACAAAAGGATAGTAATTCCTCTTGCAGTAATAGTTGCGCCACTCATCGAATTCCTCGCTGAAAACCACCAAGTGAATTTTTATCTGTTTACGCTCCTTATTCATGTCTACAAAATTAACTTCATCCAAATTTTTGTCTATCTTTCGTCGTTTTGCCACTCTACCAACATTCGCAGGGCCAATCTAACAGACATCATCCACAAACCGTTTCGGCGCACGCAACATTTGCTTTGGTCAGTCCGCCATGTTGAAACACAACGCAAGCACACTGACAGCGTACAAAATGTAACAATCACCGTAAGCAAAAGTCCTCTTTTGCGGGCTTTGAGTTTGATATGGGGAGATCCAGCCTAACACAGGGGTGAATAAAAAGCTAAATAAAATGTGCCAAATTGATCCACTACATACCAACTTTCAGGGGGCCAAAGTGAATTCAGTTGAAACTGTGTGCAAAGAGCA